CCGGGCCCGGGGGCTATCGCTGCCCCCCGCCAGCCCTCTCTCCGCCCGCCGGCAGCAAAGCGGGATGGGGGTGCTGGGCGCCGCGGCCGCCAGGCCGGGGGAGGAAGCGGAGACAGGAGCGAAGAGAACCAGGCTTTTTCCCGCCCGTCTTTGCAAACCAAAACCGAAGAAAGTCCGGTACCGGTTCCAAACCGAGGACGGTAGCCCGAGCCGAGCTCCGAAGCCCTGTGCATCACTGCCCGCCCCCCGCCTCTCTCTTTACCTGGCTGTACTTGGCCTCCTGCTCAAGGGAGCTCTTCTCCAACCCGTTCACGGCGTGCTGGGTCGGCGGGTGGAAGCTGTTTCGGCCCAAGCTGCTCCATTCCTCCACCTTGGGGCTGGGGTAAGGCGAAGTGTCATTCACTGCTGGAAAACAAAGGAGCGGGAGAGAGGGAGTTAGAGGCAGAGTCTGACATTCGGAGATGGAGATGGCTTTGCTTCGGGATGGAGACGGCTCCTCTCCCCATGGAAGGCAGTCTATGGGGCAGAGCTAAGGGGAAACCGGTCCCTCGCCCGCCACACCTCGCTGAAGCTCCCGGAAGCTCCTTGAGACGGTGATTTCGTGGGCAGAAGGGAGCCAGCTCCCTCCTGAAACCTGTGACAGAGATCAGCAACCCAGCCCAGAGGTGGCTGGCTCGTTCGTCCCCACGTCTCCGCACTGGCGGGACGGAGCTGCCTCACGGCATTTATCCCCCAGGATCTCCTAAGGGGTATTTACGGGAACCGCCGTGTGTGTATTTGTGAGTCAGAGGAGAAACGATACCCCGTGATACAAACAGACCTGACACGCCTGCAGATGAGCTAGGCTCCAAACACTTTTTGGGAGAAAAAGAAAATGAAACATAAAAGTAAAGAAATTTTTTTAATAGGGAAATAAAAGGCGGAAGATAAGAAAACGGGGAGGAAAAGTAACAGTCCTATTATTTACATGCCTATCAGCCGCGGCATGGGCATACCGGCATGTTTTGCTGGCGGACAAATTCCTCGAACGGCCAAATTCCCGCACCGGGGAGCCAGGGGAGGAGTAGGGGGAGCCCTGCCCCGCGCCCGGCCGCATCGGAGCGGCCGTGGGAGGGGGCTTTCCTGCGACACCACCTCGCTCGGCCCCTCGCCGTGCTGGGGAAAGGCACAAATCTGAAGTTGTCTTAAGAAATTGAGCTCCCTCGGCGAGCGCCCTTTTCTGCTGATCTCACACTTTCCCATGAATAGGGGCTTCCTTTCCGTGTCAGCAAGGTCAGTTTACCCTATAAATCAAGGGCGAGCAGCCCCCATCTGCGGCATCGGCCACTCCGCAGCCCCGGCCCTCTGACGGGAAGGGGAGGGGGGAGATTTCACACTGCAGAAAGATGTGTGTCGCTACGGGGGCTGAGGGAGACAAGACAGATACCGAGGCACCCGGCAGCACCGTTAGAGGCCTGCCTGCCAATGTGGTGTTAATAAAGGAGGAACTCACAAAAAAAAAAAAAAAAAAAAAAAAAAATATATATATATATATATGTATGTATTAAAAAAGGGGGGAAAACACTAAAAATATAAAAACCATAACAAAACAAAATAAACCCAAACCCTAAATTTCTCATGTGAATGTAATGCTCTCATTCTTTTTAATGTTCATTGCCAACACTCCCTCTAGATTGCCTCAGAGATTGCCAGGTGTGTATTTGCTAAAGTCGACTCAGAAACAAGCACATTTGTTTGTGCCTGTGAGGACTAGGATAAAGTTTATATCGTGAAGGGCAAAGAAGAACAAACTTACATTTTCTGCATGTATACATATAAAAAACCATACTTGTGCATGCGTATGTGTTGCTTGAAAAACATATCATCTTTCTGATTAAATAAGAAGAAATTAAACCTGCAATGCCGAAAGGATCATTTTGCATGTGAAATGCTGGTAGAACTGGATTGTTGCTGTTAAAAAGGCAGCGAAAACAGATCACAGCTCCCACCTCTCCACTACTGAGAGAAGAAAGGGACTCAGAAATCGCTGTAGGCAAAGGTTATTTTGGACTGTTGTTTTCAGTGACACTTTGAGTAACGCTTTCACTGTTAGCTCACTGGCAGAGAGCGAAATGGAAAAAATGTCCCTTGCTAGCGAGCGGCTGGGAGACGCGACGCAGTTTCCAGGCGGAGGAACCGAAAAAATGTGAAAGGGATAAAAGAGGCAAATCTTGGGCCTTTGGTTTTCCTAGACCACCGCTTCGGATGAAAATACACCATCAGAATGAAAGCAATTAGATGACATTTGAACTTCCTGCCGAGGCAAATTTGGCCTGATTGCGAAAACTACAGAAAATTGACTTCTCGGTAAACGCCAAGGCAGCGCCCGTGACCGGAGCGCGGCAGCGAGCCCCGGTCGGGACCAGGACCGGGACCGGGACCGAGTGCGCCCTGGTGCCGCCCCACCCCGGGCCGTCCCCTCCGGCGAAGATCCCCACCTCCCGGGTCAGAGAGGCGGAGGTGACGGCCGATGGGTCCTGCTTGCTGGTCCGCCTGCAGCCCACCCAGGCCCTTCGCTCTTCCCCCGCTCCGAGACGCATCCTCCAGTAAGCTCAGTGCCCTGCCCGTGCCGGGGAAAACGCCAGGGGTTTCCCGAATCAATCACGAAACCACCTTCCGACCCTCGGAGAGGAGAGAACCCAGGAGCAGGGGACCGAACCCCTCCGGCCCTGCTTGGATGCCTTTGTGGCCCCGGTTCCCCCCTATTTCTCACCTTGGTCTGTGATGGAGCGGATCCCCAGGATGTCCGTCACCGAGTGAGAGGACGGCCACGTCCTGGGCATGGCCATGGTGCTGGGGATCGCCGGCACCCCGGGAGGGGTGGACACCTTGGCTCCTGCAGCAGCGATGGGGCTGGGGTAGGGGTAGATGTGGTTGTAGGACAGAGCAGGCTGTGGGGGCGGCTGGTGCTGCTTGTAAGACTCGTAGTGACTCTGCTGAGACAGGTTCCCGATTTTGTTGCGGAGGATGCGGCTGATGGAGCTGACCGACGGCACGTTGTACTTGTCACACACGCCATCGGCCAGCAGGCGATCCCGGATCTCCCAGGCGAAGATGCCCGGGTCCCTTTGTTTGTAGGTCCGGATATGTTTTACCACCGTGGGAGTGGTGACCCGAGGCTTGCTGCCGCCGATAGCCCCCGGTAGGATGGAGCCAGTCTCGTTGTAGCGAGCCAGGATTTTGCTGACACAGCCGTGGGAAACGCGGAGCTGCCGGCTGATGTCACACGGCCTGATACCCAGTTGCGCCAGTTCCACAATCCGCAGCCTGATGGCATTGGGCAGGGGTCTCCCGTTGACAAACACCCCCCCGAGCTGGTTCACTTCCCCGAAGGCAGGTTCTGCAAGCAAATGCACAAACACAGCCGTCGGACACGGCGGACGGCACAGAAGGGGGCGTCTGAACTGCTCCTCATCACAGACAGATGTCACAGACAGGGACCCCCCTGCCCCGGTCACTCCACGCACGCTTCTTTGTATTAGCGGAATGCCCCCGAGACTGAAGGAGGCAAAGGGGAGGGAGGAAGAGAAGTGAGAGTTTAAAAAAAAAATTTAAAAAAAAAAAAAAAAAAAGACAGAAAGAAAGAAAATCCGTGGCAACAAATGTCCGAGCGAGCTCTCCGGACCGTGCATCAAGCATATTCCAAAAAAATAAGCACATTCCAGAGATGAAAAATGAGATCGCCCCAACAGACAAGTCAGTTTTATTGCCACAGGAAAAAGGAACGCGAAGAAAACAAAAAGAAAAGAAAAACATCTTCTAAGACGTGGGGGAGGGGGAGGAAGGAAAAAGTAGTTGTGGAAATTCTTTTACATCTTGGGAAAGACGAGGGCAGCGCGGTGCTTCTGAGTCGGGACTAACTTTTTAAAGACCGTTCCTGGTGCTGTTAGCGCCTTTCGCTTAACAGCACGATTACACTGGGCTGTAAAACAAGCGTGTTAAAATGTTAACTGCTACGATCGGTGTCAGGAATAATATACAACGTGTCACGGGCTCCAGCCATCCGCTCGGCTGCAATACTGCCTCGCACTCGCCTAATAACACTAAAAACAAGCCGACTAGTCATTAGCTCTCTCTCTCTCCCCTGCTCCTGACCCTCAACATGTTCTCACAACTTGTAGGAACACGAGCAAAGTCAATAAGGGAGCCGCGGCGGTGGCAGATGACTGCGCACGGGTGCTCCCCCTCTCCTGACAGCACTTGAACCCTCCTGCGGCTCCCGGCCACTTACCCATTCCTCTGAGCGGGACACCTCGAGGCCGGCCCTAAATCCCAACGGATCCCTATGCCCGGGAAGCGACTCCCGGCCTCCTGCGCTCCTGGCCGCACTGGCCCCGAGCCTCTCTGATCTCCGCTGAGGAGGGAACAGTAGCGTGAGGAAGAAAAGAACTACAAGGAAATCTACATCCCGACAAGAGAGCCTTGACTTCTGCATTTCAACCTCAGGGCAGCGTGGGCAGGGCCGGGCTGGGCCGGGCCCGTGGCCCACCGCCCCCCCGAGCCCGCCCCTGGGGCGGCCCCACGGCCCAGCCGCCCTCCCAGTGGCCAGGGGAGATGACGGACAGCGCGGCGGCGGCGGCGGCCCTTCCGCTCCGCTCCGCTCCGCTCCGCGCTCGGCACCTGGGCCCGCCGCGCCGGGACGGCGGCTCCGCACCTGCGGCGGTGAGTTGCGCGGGAAGCGCCGCCGGCGTCGGGGCTGTGCCGATCGGGGCCGGCGCTGTGGCAGGGCACCGCTCGGCCGGCGGGGGCCGGGGCCTGGGCAGGCGGCTCCGCGGGGCCGGGGCACGGTCGGCGGGCAGCGCAGCACCGCCCTTTCTGGCCCTTTTCCCGGACTAAGCAACCGGAGAGGGGGCTTCGAGCCTGGCAGAGTGGTTCCCCCTTTCCCCGAATGAAGCAGAGCCATGTCTTGACACACACACGGGTTGCCCGCGCTGAGTTTGCTGACCGCGAGAGATGTTCTTCGTGGGTTTGATCGCTTCGTTATAATAAAGCACCTTTTCGCTAACGAATGTTTCGCGGGCGGTGTACGAGAAGACCGTGAGCGATGCGAGTTGCGTCATTTTTGGTGAAAATCACCAACCGGTCAGGAAACGAGCTGCAATTTCCCTTGCCTTGGGAGGAGACGGGACGGGGCTTGCAGCGCCTGGCACTGGGATGCTGTGTTCTCCGGTCACCGCACACCGGCACCGGGATGCTGGCGCTCGCTGCCCAGCGCAGACCGGCCCCGGGTTTGTTTTCATCCCCACACTAATACTGCACAACGCTTAACCGTAAAATGTCAATGCCTCGCAGCTGACTTCAGCTTTATAAAAGGCACTGATACATATTAGCAATCAAAAGAAAAACAGACAAAACTGGTAGGAATTAAAGAATGTGTGGGTCACGGCGTGTATGTGGAAATGTTTGGTTTGGCGATGTACGGATCCTGAGCTGATCTTGTGTGCGTGCGTCTTATGCCCTAGGTTACATCGTGTTGCACACAGAGATCATGGGCTCTCATCTCCAGCTAAGGATTTGTCTTGGGTTTGGGATTTTTTTTTCTTTGTTATTTTCCTGAGGTTCTTCTTTGCCCTTTATAGTTTGGGGTTTTTTTTTAATAGAGTCTCAAAGGTACAGACTCTGTAAATAAGGCGGTGATCCTAATGCACAAAATATCACCAAGTAAAGCACAAAATTTACGTCGCTGGTGTGTATAAACATTGTCTCGATATTATTTTAATTGAAATGTAAGATATTAAGATATTATTTAATATAAATGTAAGAGAAGAAAAAAATTGAGCGACATTTCGGATCCTGCATATATCGCAATGAACATTCCTAACTGTGAAGAAATAAGATGTTGCAGATCTCCCAGAAATTAGCGGCATGTTGTAAACGTTTTGTGGTGAAAAGAAGGCTCTTTTGCAGGTACTTCCATTTGATCGAAATATCGGCGGATACTTGTTTTCTCCACAGGGATTAAAAAAAAACAAACAAGCAAACAAACAACGACAACAAAAAATACACTACCAAAAAACTGTCAAGAAAACCAAACCAAAAAAAAAAAAAACTAACAAAACCAAACCACCACAACAGGAACTTTTCTATGGCAGTTTTGTTGTTGCTTCAAAAATACGAGTTGCCCTTTCAGAATATCGCACCTGTAAATTGTGGTGCTTGTTCAACCTGGGTAGAATTATCTCTGATAAGGGGAGCACTCTTCACAGCCGCGCAAATGCCACTGTCCGAAAGCGCTGGCATTTTGCGCAGGCAACAGTACTAGCAGGCGTTTGCTGAAGCCAGAACTCCTTTCTGAATTGTGAACTGACCTCCTTTGGCTATTTTTAAGGCAGAAGGAATTGAACTAGTGGGACACGGCTCCAGCCTTAATTAAGTTATTTCTGTAATTAAACAATGAAAGGGGGTGGAAATCCGTAAAACTTCCGATCCGCTTTAACGGGGTATTTCTTGTGGAAGCGGAGTTTCTTGTCGGGATCCCCGACCAGGCTGTTCGCCCTACAGCGCGTCTCCCCAGCCCGGCAGGGCCTGGACTGCACGCCGCCCCGGCCACCCTGTACACGCGGGACTCCCGTTGCTTTAGTCCGGTCCAGTGGCGTGTGGCCGGGGAGCATCTCCGGTCGCACGGGTGGTGGAAGCCCGACCCCGCCGCTCCTGGACCCGCTCGGCGTCTCTAAAGCTCCCTCAGGGTTGCTGGGATGCTCGGGCGTGACCCTGCGCTGCTCTCCCACGCTGCCCGGGCAGCTTCTCTTCCCATCTGTGTCTATTGTATTCACAGTTGGGTCCTTCTCTCCCCCCTCCGCCGTGTCCTCCAACCTGTCTGTTCCCCCTCCTTCCCTCTCCCACCCCTCCACCCTCGAGCCCGCCTCTGATCTCCTGGATATTTTGTTTCTTTCCCTTTCTCAATGTGTGTTCCTGATGTGGTCCTGTCGGAAAAGCTCGTTTACTCTGCTCGGGTCTCTAGTGGTTTAAGGATAATGTTTATCAGAAGTGAACGTGCTCAACTTGTTTCCATTCAACTGCTGAGTGTGGGCTGAAATACCAAAGGTCAGATCTACAGTGAGTCGGTAGAGGGCAGGGGGAGACGAGACGAATATGAAAACATAATATACAACAGGCTGTTGATCGCTTCTGACCTGCCTGGCAAAAAGATTATTTTTTTTCAGGTAGGAAATCATTGTAGAATCGGAGGGGAAAGGCGGCAGAGAGGGGAGGGCGGGGGGAGCGGGGTCAGGGTTTTCTAACCGGGGAAGGGCACGCGTGCCCGGGCAGGGGGCTCGCCCTGAGGAGCCGGCGGCTGCCCCGGCACGCACCCGCGCCCTCACTGCAGGGTCCCCCGGCCTGACAAAGCAAAACGCGGGGGGAAGCTGTAAGAGATTCGAGCCAGGGGCAGACAGGAGCCGGGCTTGCCCTTCCATTCCTTTCCCTCCGTGCCGGGAGAGTGCCTGAGCGGTGCCGTCACGCACGGCGCGGCCGGAGCCGCTGGCACCGGCAGCTGGTGTCTCTCTGGAGGCGCTGCCCTTGTCTGCCTTCTCCCGACACTGCTGCGTCGCACAGGGGAGCCAGAGGCGCTCCCCTTCCTCTCCTTCCCTCAAACTCTGCTCCCTCGCCCTTTCTCCTCCACAAAACAGACTCGCCGTGAGTTGCCTGCTGCAAATCGCGTGTACGGCTGCAGCAGCCTCGGTGCGCGGCCGGTACCGGCGAGGCGGCGGTCCTGGCTGCCCCGGCCCATGAAGGCCTTCTCCGGCGCTTTCCTGGACCGGGCAGGCCTCCAGACAGTGCCCAACCTCCCGCAGCTGAGCAGAGCCCGACGCTGTGGTTTTCCACCGCTCCGGCAGGGCTCGGTTGCGCCGCTGCGCTCACCTCGGCGTGTCCTACTCCTTCCTCTTAGAGCCGCCGTCATGAGGCCTTTCTGTGCCTCGCTCTGCTCCCCAGATGCCTCCTCTCTCCCCTTGTAAGAAGAAGCCAGACAAATCCAATGCGGCACAAACCACCCCCCCCCCCCCTTTGAAGCTGCCGATTTTTATTGATTTTTTTTTTTTTTAAGGGAGGAAGGAAGATAACCTCCTCACCTTCCTCGAGGGGAGTGGGCTACTGAGGGGCTATTAAGGCAGAAGGATGCCCACATGGTAAGGTATTGTGTAAGCAGAAGGCCCCCTGATCCTTCCCGAAGGACACAGTTCCCCCGGCCGTGTATGTAGTCGGGTGGCCGCATTTCCCGAGGCGGCGTGGGGAAGGTCTGAGGGGCGGACGTGGCAGGGCGGCCGGAGGGACTGTCGCAGCTGCCTTGTCTTCCCCGCCCCTAGCTCCTGCCATGCGGCTCAAAGCCGCGAAATCCTCCCCCGGAAGCGATGCAGACTGTTTGGTGGGCAAAGAACTCCTTGGAACCGGAGCAGGGGTGAGGGGATAACCCGGCGTGGGTGCCGGAGGAGATTTTGGACGCCTCTGAAGGGCAGGTAGGGAAAAGCGGGCAGAGGCAGGTGGAAGGGTAGCAACAACCCAGCGAGAACCTCGAGTTTTGTCCGGAGGTGACCCATCCCGTAGGGAAGGTGCTGTGTGAAATTGAGAGAGATGAGACCCACGGAGCTTTGGAACGGGGTTTTCGTTTTGCACAGAGCTAGTTCTACACGTGAGTGTATAAAATCCCATGGAATCTCCAGGGATCGTTCCCGTTTTCTGCGAGGAGCCAAACGCAGGATGAAGGGGCCTCCACGCATCACTGGCTGCCATGTGCATTTCCTTATGCCACAAAATAGCTGAGCGCAGTAAGTTAGCAAGGGCAGCGTGCCTTAGCAGGCGGAGGGAGAGGCTGCGGGGCCTCGCTGCCCACGCTCCCCTCCGAGCCTGCCAGCCTGAAAACACCCGACCTGACCCCCAGCTCTCAGGTGTGCTGACCCACCCCCCCCCCCCCCTCCCCCCCTCGTAGCCTGGGACAAGAGCACATGCACCGGCAAAGGCTTGTGTGAAAGAGAAGGGGGATTTTCACAGGGAGACGTCCTTTCCAGCCGGCGGGCGGCTGCAGATAGATAGGGACTGCTGCAGATAGATAGGGACCCCTGCCCCCCAACAGCTCCCGAATCCCTTGGCGACCCCCGGCCCCCGCCCTTCTGCAGGGGCTGGCCTTGTTTTCCGTTTTTCCCCTCTTCGGAGGAGAAGGGCCTTTTGAGAATGATCCTGGCACAAGTTGCTGATCCGTCAATGGTGGATGTTGCGTTTCTTGTTACAGCCTGCTACCTTATTTTAGCTCGCTAAAAAACACCAGCTTATATATTTGTGTTTGCATAAACTGCCCGCGTTCATTTACTTGTGATTCCGGAGGGGAGGGTATTTTTACCCTAATTTAATTAACGTAGTACTCAAACATGCATGGAAATACACGCAACAACACCGAAGCTCACACAAGCTGGCAGGTAGAGAGGGAGCTGTGTTGTGTGAGAGTGCGTGATTTCAATTTTAAGAAATTATTTTAACGTCAGGGACAAGGCGGAGAATGGAAATATAACAGGATTAAATTTTGTTTAACAAAGTTTCATCAGATACAAACGAGCTATGTCTGTACATTTCCTGCATATTTATGAAGTAATGATGGGCAAAATACAATCGGGTCTTGGAGTCACTTCGGTTGTCACAGACCCAAAATCTGAAGAAAACGAAACATAGCAAGAAATCGAGACACAAGGATTTCAGGTGCCCTGCTTTTGGGATAAGGACACAACCTCTTGCAAAGCTCTCCTCCCTGGCGTGCAGAAGCAGGGAAGCTCAGCTTCAGTGGTCAGAAATGCCCACTCGGTGTCGGGCTGTGTCAGGGGTTGGGCCGGATTCCCCCGCTCGTTCTCGAGCAGCTTCTCCCGTCACTCGGAGCCGGCTGGTTCCCGGCTGGTTCCCTGGCCCGGCCGGGGCTCTCAG